CCTAGCCTTTTATTTTTTAATTTAGCCCATGGCAAAACGACGTTGTTTTGCCATTTCCTCCTCTCAATCCTTCAAGTTTCCAGTTTTATAGAAATGGTCCATTGACCTCTAATTTTATCATTTAGCCCCTAATAAAAATTGGGTTATAACAATTCTATATAATAATTTAAAATTTTTATTATAGCATTGAGGTACATTTTTACCTTTCATGACTAAATTTATAATCATTTTGTTTTAAATCAATCCAATTTAGAGTTAAAAGAAATATTCTAGTATTTTTTTTATAATATTAGTGTTTATCAATATGACCTCAAAAAAATTGGAAGGAAAATACCCTAAAATTACATTATTTTAATAAAATATTATGTTATATATATATACTGATATAATGTCCATAACATTTTGCATCATGAAAAAGCTAGGCTAAGCTAAGAAGACACGACACGACACGACACGTAAAAACCCCACATAGACAAGGACGTTGACGCAGATGCTGCCCAAGTTGGATGAGGCCATATGAGGGAGAAGAGAGCCGTAAGGAATCTGGAAGGCTGCGGAACTGCAACCAACACGAACACAAATCCCCTCCGTTCATTCCCTTTTCTCTTATCTCATGCTCTATTGCGATTAGTACCCTATATAGCTAATGGTACATTATTATAAAAAAAGGGAGAGAAGAAAAAGAAGAAGGATTATTTTAGACGGAATTATTGGACAGTTTGACGTTTCCAAAGTTTGAAAAAAACTTGCTTTTTCGCTAAATAAAATCTTGTCTACTGTTTTAGTAAGCTGCTGTGTCTGTTTGTGTAGATGGCATACAAAATTTAAGAAATGGGGGGGTAGCTAGGGTGTGCCACGTTTGGTTCAACCCCACTGTGGAACTGACACGTTACGTTACACAGTGGTACTGCGGGCCACTTTTATCAACTTGTGCTCCAAAAACAAGGAAGAGGTGGGATACTGGGATCTGGGCCGATTAACATGTAATATTATATTAATGCCTGCTTTTCTTTTGCTTTTCCTCTTCCTTTTCATCTCATGTGTTGTGGAGTGTGATGTCCGGTGGGTGCGTATCCAACTTCTGTAGATACACATAGGAGTCGTAATTCTGTATTTAAAATTGATTTTTTTTTTTTATTTTTTATCTCTCTAACGGTTTACAATATAAGATAAAAACAAATTCCAATCCTAATTCTAAAGTTGAAAAGTACACTTTAAAATAGATGTAAAATTGTTAAACTATTAGACCTTGATGCATAATTAAAATTGCTTTTAGTAAGGGTTTAGATTATAATTTTTTTTTTTTACCTTTATATATATATTAATATCGGTGGGTATTCATTAATTAATTTAGGGCTAATTAAGATAACAGTAAAAAAAAAGATCCCAATATCTACACTAGCTAACATCCAATCACTACAAAAATAAATTAGGTACATATAATAGTTTAATTATGCCGATATATATATATATATATCCTCCAATTAATTGATGAGATGATGATAACTATAAAGCACAAGTGTTGTGGATAAGGACTTGGATTAGTGGCATAATTGATGCTTCAAATATGTCATCATTCCCCATTATGATTATTTAATTAAGATCCTTCTTTCACTTTCTTTGAAACATACCATCACACAGGCACATAAATATATTTAGCTATTTCCCAACCCAACTTAAGGGGAATTAAGGACTGATGAAGACCACTACCTCTAATTTATGCTATGGAATAGACTACAAAAAAAATATGGTGATAATTGATAAATATTAAGATTAAATGCTAGCTAGCTGAGAATGTGGTGCCTTGGGTATGTATGTGTGTGTAAATGGAGGAAAGATATATATTTAACAACAAGTGTATTATTTAAGCTAAAGTGAGTGGTTTGATGATTCATACCAAATTGCTTAGCTGCTTTAGAATTAAGGACAACCACTGCTTAAATCGTGAATAATTAAGCTACACCCAGAAGTGGTGCTAATCTGATTCCCAATTAGAGTAAGATTTTACGGCTTTCTAGTTCTAACTACTTTATTCATTGCAAGAGTTCAATCTTTTGAGGACAGCCTGAACACTTCACTTCTGCTTACCTCTTCTAGCTATTAATTATTGCCATATCTTTTTGTGTAGATTTTTTAATGCCTCAACTCAACATACCACACCTAAATTCTCCAATAAAAAATTTTAATTTGTTCTGGATAAGTACCAAGAAGGTTCAATTGTATATGTATTATCCATTTGAAAAAAAAAAAAGAGAATCTGGAGAAGCATAAGATGCAAAATGGACATGAAATTAGAATCAGAATGTTTGTAATATTCTAAGACCACTAACTTTTGGGTTGGATTTAAATGAAATATTCTAAAATAAGAAATGCTATACCTGCAGCTCTCTTAAAACATCCATTGAGTTACTTACTATATACAGTAATTTTTTATCCAATACTTTATTTAAAAATGTACTATAAATTGAATATAATTATAATTAATTTTAATTATATATTTATTATCATTATGAGAACTCCAAACCAAGCCACAAACCTGAATTTTACTTTGTTCTTTTCCATTTATGGGAGAAGATAAATCCCAATCAACGATTGCCACTTACGACAAAAAACAAGCGGCCTGTCAACTCAACAGTGGTGAAGTTGGGGCCTGAGCTTGGGCCTGTGCCAGGGGGCCAAGGGTCTTTCGACAATTGAGGATTGGGCATTGGCCAATTAAAATCTGAAAATTTGAAAATGTGGCCTTTGGGCTTTATAAACAAGCCCTATCTTTAATTAATTAAAGTGGAAAATAAATAGCCCCATCCACAAGGCAGAACCCAACTGGAAAATGCAAAGGAATGTCAAAAAAGTTGGGCAAAAACCTATTTTGAGCCCTTTATCTTAATAACTTTGTAGGTTTTGGCCCATTACCTTATATTATGACATTTTTAACCCTCATCTATACGAATTAAAAAAAATAACTCTTATTTAATGTCATGTTAGCTGACTGTTATTTTTGTTAGCTAACTGTTAGCATTTCATAATAAAAAATATGAAATTTAAATTCAATTTTATTTATTAGTTCCGTTAATGGATCGCTAACAGTTATCTAACAGAATTAACAGTCATCTAATAAAACTAATAATCAATTAACAAAACTAACAAAACGTTATAACTTGATGTTAATTGAGGGTTATTTTCTTTAATTCGTATATGTAAAGGGTTAAAAGTGTCATAGTATAAGTTGAGAGGTTAAAACTTATAATTTATTAAGGTAAAAAATTAAAAGTAAGCTTTTGCCAAAAAATTGGGGGTAGGAGTAGAGTGGCAGAGCTATTGGGATTTGGGAGAATAATGGCATGGCAGTTTAGATATCTAATTTTCAATTAACTGTTTTTAATTTTGGACAAATTAAACAAAAAATAATAATAATAGGGTTGCTGCATGCTTAATTATAAGTTAAAACCCTTTTTTGGTCCCCGAACTATTGTACGGACCCCCGATTTAGTTCTAGAACTAAAAAAATCTCTGATTTGGTCCCTACTGTTTACCCATTTTACCCCAACTTGGTCCTTCCATTAAAAATATAGTGAGGTGTCCAGTTAATTAACTGAGTATGATGACATGTCAAAATATTGTGACATGTCAACTGTACACATGGCACATGTCATAAACCACGTCAGATTCTGAGCCAACAAAAAAAAAAATTGTGGGGCCCACCTCTTGCCCCCCAAACTCACTATCTTCTCCCCCTTCTTCCCCTTTCAACCCTAGAAGACTTGTACCAGCAGTCTCCGTTGGGTTCCTTCGAGAACCCAGCCGTTGGGTTTCATTGGAACCCAAGAGCTGGGTTCTTTCGAGAACCCCTGGGTTCCTTCTTGAACCCAGGCGCTGGGTTCGAGATAGAACCGAGTGCCTGGGTTTCTGTTTGGGTTCTTGAAAGAACCCAGCGCTTGGGTTTCTTCTCGAACCCAGGCGGCTGGGTTCCTTCGTGAACCCAAGCGCTTGGGTTCGAGAAGGAACCCAGGGGTTCGAGAAGGAACCCAGGCACTGGGTTCCTTCAAGAACCCAAGAGCTGGGTTCCTTCGAATCTAGGGGCAAAAAAGTTTCTGTTCTTTTTTTTTTTTTTTGTGGGTTTGGTTGTTTGATTAAGAT